CATGTGCGGGGAGATTTCACGGCCCGGCAGGTCAGCAAATACCAAGGTTGTTCCAGCTCACTGGCCCCCGATCAGGGCCCACTGACAATTAATACACACCACAGGTGGTCAAGCGTCTGTATGTGAAGGTGAAAAGAAGAGATATAAAATCTCTATCTATCTATCTATCTATCTATCTATCTATCTATCTATCTATCTATCTATCTATCTATCTATCTATCTATCTATTTAGGCCTGAATGGATGAAAGAATAGGAAACAGGTGATAGTGAGAAGTGAAGAAGGGGAAGTGAAGGTCTTTGCTAATGTCTTAGGAGCCGATATTGAATAACGGTGGCCTCCTCTGCCACGCTTCACCCTCCTCTTCAGTTCATTAGCTCTGTCGTTTGGAATTGGTTATATTGGGCCAGCTTTTCAATGTCACCAAGATGAATAAGATATGATCCCATGGGATGGGACAGGATAGGAGAGGATGGGATCCGTTGTGATCCGATGCAATACGATGGGAGAGGAGAGGTTAGGACACGGTGGGGTAACATAGGGTCATTATTAAAACCCATAGTCCTTAAACGCTACGCAATGAAATATATTTGAATGTGCATTTAAAAAATCAGGATTTACTCATACCCTACTTCCATATCATTGCAATATGAATTTAGTTTGTAGATATCTGACAGTTAAGCAAGATGGAAAAAATATTCAATTAAAGACTTTTTCCATCAAACTTCTCTTATATTTTTGTTGGGCTGAGGTCACTTTTTAGGAAGGTTTTAGACAATGTGATGCCATCAACATGACAATAAGTGCTGATAAGACCCTTAAGGAGCCTAGCAAGTTAATAACCAGAGAGAGATTTGTTTTCCTAGCAAAAAGCAGAGGAGATCTTTTGGCATAAACTTTGATTTAGATGTTTCATGTCAGCTTCCAGTAGGTTTTATGACCTTATATCTAGAGGACCAAACCAGTGCTCACACCTAAAATTCAGAATCCAGTGTTCTGAAATACTCCATGAGGGGGAGCATGTGAGAAAAAACAGATATCTTACCGACAATTACCAGTCCCCAAACAAAGTTTGATAAGATCACAGTTGATGACAATGTGTGACGTCCCCCCTGTGTCCAAAACATGGAACAACCCATGACAGTTAGGACTTTATGTTTCTGTGAAAACCTCTCATAAATACCCTGTAATGCCATATGAAACACATTTGATACACACAACTTCTTAAATGAGACCTTTTGCATCTTTTAAAGGTAAAAACTTTGCTCAAAACCCTGTTGTACACAGTCAGATATGCCTTATAACAGCCGGCAGGAGTCTAAGAAGACTGAGATTTCAAATTTTATAGCAGTTTAACAAATATTAAATCTACTAAATTACCCGACTTGATTTGTATCTATCTGAAATGAGTTGAAAATAGAATTTATTTATGTTTTCTGTAAGTGATAAATGAAAGGAGAACATTAAAGGAGGCGAGCCGATGTCTCCTGGCTGTTATAACTCTGGGACCGGATGGATCGGCGCTCTCGTTGCGTCACTTTAAAGACACTTTGTGTTATTCAGCCTCACCGATCTATAAAAGTGTCTGGACATGTGTGTGTGTGAGCGCCCTGAGGGGGGGGAAAAGCTACAAAGCAGGGTGTGTGTTTTAACATGATTAAACACCACCTCTTCCTCCCCTTTTCCTCATCTATTTCATCATCCCCCTGTGCTTCCCCCCCCCTCCCCTCGCACGTTTTCCTCCACACAGCACTTCTCAGAAAGAGGGGGGGAAAGAGGGAGCGACTTAAAAGGGCCAGACAGCCGTTCACACGCTTGAAAGGGAGGCAGACTGTAGAGCCGAAGGAGGGTCAGGGAGGGAGAGATCAGTCCTCTCGTTTAGAGAGGAGACATCTATCGAAAATGGCTTTCTGTGATATGATGTTATGACTACTTTGGCTTTTTATTTATACGACCCGTTCCATCCGCCTCTGTGCCGCGGGGGCCGACCGGAGTGGGTTGCAATCATACTTGGGCTGTCTGACAGAAAAAACGGATAGAAACACTTTTTCCCCCCGCAGATTGTCTCATAGATTGGCAGAAAACGGGAAGATTTTCCGACAAATCACAGTGATTGTGTGTGTTTGGGACCTGCTGATTTGAACAAGTCCGAGATGTGAGGCGGTGTATAAAGCAAAGACTGAGAAAACCCACAGCAACACAGTTTGATTTCCTTCATAAAGAGCCTTCACAAGACGGATTCCCACTGAAGTTGAGATGTGTTTGCTCGCTGAACTGGGCGTGTGGCTGCCTGTTAAACTCTCAGGGGTGAACTCAGCTTCTCCTCCGTCCCGCGCTTAAAACAACAAACCAATCTCACACTTTTTTTAGATTCGGGGTCCGATCACAACGGTGAGAATGTTATTTTCACAGAAAGTATACAGACTGAAGCAATGCTCGGCGTTTGTCTTAATCTGTGACACAAGGGACGGTTTGAGTGATGTCACGTTTCTACTGGTCACCAAAAACATTTTTAAAAAATGCCAATTAAAGCAGCTTTTAGTGTTGGTCAAGCTTGAGTCATCACCTAAGACATCCTCCAAAGCACTTTTAGCCAGATAAAGACCAGTGAGAAATAGAAATAAGCCCGGAAATATACAATATATGTATATTTGCATTTATGTGGGGAAGAGTGTGAGGAAAATATTGTGAATTTACCTTTTTTTACATGGTTGACCAACTCATACTGTCTTAACCTTGAGTTATAGGGGTAGAAAGCAGTTATGGAAAAATGCCCATTTTAATTGAAACCTTGATTATTCTCCAATGGCTATGCATTTAGCCATAATCTAAGCCTCAGATTTATTGTCTCAGCTCTGCTCCCGTTTTTAAATTGTGTTTCCTCATTCAACAGAAACTTGAACTCAAAAACATTTGATGATGTAATAGATGAATACCAGATACCAACTAGGGAATTGAATGCATGTTTGCTCATTTAGATAGCCAATAGAGTGGGCTACATGTGGAAAAATGTAGGATTATGTAATACGCACACAGGGTTGATCTACAAGTGAACATCTTATGACTATAGAAATCAATCAAATCCATAAGTCATTCTGTTATAAAGGTCTGTCAAGGATTTTTAGTTTCTCCCATAACAGACACAATTTTAATCTGATTTCATTTTAAGGCAATTATCTGGGACAGCTCTCAATCCACATATATATCGCCGAGGAATTCTGTGGGAATTAGAAGTGCCACAAGTCCTATAAACTGTTTTTTTATCGCTTCACTGTGGAAAATAATGGGGAAAAGATTCTCTTTATTCAGAAACTGATGCCCACGTTTTTGGTTGAAAGTGCAGAATAAAATGTTCTAGAGACAGTGTAGAGAGAGAGAGAGTAGATTAATCAAACATGAGAGCCTATTTCCAACAATCCTGATTTACCAATCGCATCTGGACTTCAAATGTTCTCTGAATTCAAATGGTAGTTTCACCAATCAGTGTTTTTCATCCCAGTCCAATCAAACCCTGAAGCAGAGTGTTTACTGAGCAATCAAAGGCGGCTTTACGGGGACGACTGACCAATCACAGAAGGATACACTGCAGTCATTGGCTGGATTTACAGTTTGAGCCATTCCATCTTTGCGTTAAGCACTTTTGTTTTAAAAAAGAATGGAAATACACATTTTTAGGGCTCTTTTTTTCACAGAAACTTCCTCTGTAGCTCTGTGTATCGACCCGAGAGGGACGGAGGAAATCTCATGGATGTCTGTCCATTTAAAGGTTTCCCTTTATCATCCTGCCAAAAACATAGTATTTTTATACATAGTTCAAGTATTCTTCTCTAGCATATGCTGATGTTCCATGAGGAATGTGAATACTTCACATTTTAGATGAGTTATTAATGGGGGGTTTTTCAGAAAAGCAAAACATGCACAGAAAAGATGATCGACAAACTATAAGTATATTTTGTTTTTGTTTCTTTTGTTTTGCTTTTTTGCTAAATTCTTAACACTCATACTTGGATATGCATATGGAACATACCATATGGAATTCCAAAAAAAAGTCAAATTTACCCCTGAAAAGAAAGAGGAATGAATTATCCTCAATAAACACATAAAATAAGAACAAAGCACACAAAACGAACTGAGCGGGGATTCCTACTTTCTGCATCCTCTTTGTTGTTCACTGTTTATCCATCTTATGTTAATCTTTACTGTTGAATTTCTGACTAAACACAAATCAAATGTGTTTGGAAAACACTGTGCCAAGAAACTGATGTGAGACTGCATTGGCCCTGTCATTTCCGAGTGTTAGGGATCTGACGGCTACCTCAGTAGCTGTCTATAGAGACAAATGACCCGGGTAACAAAACAAGCAGCATTATGAGATGGACAAAAACAAAAAAGGCCGGATGATTAAATAAGGGGAACATAAGAATATGGGCCAGCGGGGTGTGATAATCTGTCTCTTTGCCAACTATCCCACATGGGAGGAAAGAAGGGAGATTAAGAAGAAGTATAATGTATTCTGACCCATATCCCCCCCCTCCCCTACCCACACACACACACACCCACACACACACACACACACACACACACACACACACACACACACACACACA